TCCAGAAGAAACCCACGATTCTGCTGAAGAAGATAGTATGTAGTTTATAAGTGACTTTATTATCTTTAAAAATTAAGAATATTAGCTCATTAATTTTTTTTGCAAAATCTAAGGACGCGACGCTAATTATCACGCTATTTGCGAGCGGTCATCATTGTAAAGACGCTGTTATTTTCTCTGGTTTTGACGTTCATATTTTAAGAAAAATGGGTGCTATCTTAAATTCTGTCTGCCCTGCTGTCGAGCAATCAGCTACTGGATGGGAGCCATTGCCAGATTTGAAGGCTTACTATAAGAACAGGGTATTTAATTTCCACGTATGCCTCTGGTCCCTGTTCATCATGATGCTAACATTCACTTTCATGAACATGCTTCAACTCTTATGGAAGAAATATCGGGAAATGGAGGAGGAAAATCAATTCTACTGGTGCCACTACTTCACAAACGTGGTATTCACAGTAACCATCGGACCACTTGCATTACTAGCCATTCTGAAAGATGACTACATCTCATCTGATATCATACACAACTCTACATTCTTCTCCATGTTCCTCCTCAGCATTGGGATAGGCTATGTGGTGTACGATATCATTGTTCAAGTGATCCTCTGTATATTTACAAACGACTGCAACCTCACTTGCTTATTCTTTGATATAACTAATGGCATCGTCTTCATTCAGATGATCTGTTACGGTTATGGACACTTTCTTGGTTGTGTCCTCCTTCTCTTACACTGCACTTTGGGATTCGATGGGCTGGCATACATGTCGGAAGATTTTACATTCGAATACAGCAAACAGTATCGTGAGTTTGTGTCGACTTTCTATCAGCCGTCAATATATTTGAATATATACAGTCCTTTGATGGGAGGCTATTGTCTGGTGGTCACTTTTCAGCAGTGGAGCATTATCTCTCAAAATATATGTCCCCTGTTGATTTTCATTTATGCTTTAGTCCTGATCGAAAAATTTATAAAGCCTATGATCTATGCACGTGTCAATATTGAAAAATTTGTGAAGGCTTTATATCGAGAAAGGAACCAAAGTTCTTTGTCATGGGTTCCTAGAGACTAATGATAAGAAAAAGATGAAAAATGGTACATCATTTTGTGTTGATTTTAATGCTATAATATTTGATTGGGTAGGTCAAAGAAGACCATCTTAATTGTACTATAAATGACCATTCTTCTTCAACCCTTTCTTCTGTATTCCTACTCAATCATCTTCTCAATATTGGAAACTAATAATAAATAACTATTATATCATTAAAAATTAGCACTATCTAGCAGACTAACATATATACACACATAAACATTATGGTTATTATTCTGTGTAGTATTATTATCATTAGTTCATCATTTTCTTAGTCTTAGACCAATGGTAGCTAATACTCCAAATAATAAGAACCAGGCAATAGTTATGGTGAACCCTCTCCATACAAACATATCAGCTAAGCCCCATCCTAAACAACAGAGACAAACAGGCTCAAATATGCACACGATTATTAGCAACACAATGAAAAATATTGTAATACTGTATTATTATTATTATTTTCTATCTTGTGATCAATCAATGTGGGCTCACCTCTTCCCATTATTGATCTCATTGCTTCAGCCGCATAAGTTGTAGGCAGAGCATAACTGATGTACCGTAAGAACTTGGGCATCCCTTCCAGTGGCCATATGATACCTACAGAAAGGCATAATAATGATAATCAATAATGTTCTTTTATTTAAAGGTAGATCTATTAGTAATTACTAGGGGCATACTCACCACTCATTAGGAGAACAGGGTAAACTGATCCGGCCATTATTTGCATTGCTGATGTTTCTTGCTGGCATAAAGAGGATATCAATAGACCTAAACTATAAAATGAAATATTCTTTCTTTAAAAATAATGTACATTACCATATGCCATTCCTATAAATGAGAAAAAGTATCAATAACTAAAAATGATTTAAGTGGATTACCTGTCAATCCTTGCAGCATTGTCAATAACTCAACTAAAAATATACTTCTTAGATGCACCATATACACCTAAAGCATAGGAGCAATAGTAACCAGTTTGACCAGTTTTTGAAACCTGTTTCTTCCTTTACTATACCTTGAAAGCAAACCTGACCAGTATTATGAGTATAGTGCTCTGTACAAAGAGAATGATGCACTGTGTGAGGATTTGGGCTATAACCATCTCTGTCACATTGACACCTGCTACCCACGTCCTGTCCAAGAGGCCCTCCTTTCTCTCAATGACAAATGAGAGAGCAGTTAGACCAATGGACATACCAAATGTTATACTAGGGAATAAAGGAAAAAATTGTAAAGACACTGTAGTGTGTATTATGCATGAGTCTTAAGGCTGGTTTACATAAAACGGATTGCTTTTTGTGTGCTTGTGTTGCGACCGGAAGTGCTGTAGAAACAAATGGGGATGCACATCAAAACGTCAGGATAGACTCGCAATCTATCCCGACGCATTGACGCACTCTGTCATTTGTTTATACAGCACTTCCGGTCGCAACGCAAGACCATGCGTCATTATGTAAACCAGCCTTTACTCTTACCTGACAATCATTCCAGGTGCAACATAGTCTGTGTATGAGAGATGAAAGCCGCCGTAAACTGGTGGATTGTGGACCTAAAGTGTCATTGAAATTAAGTTTTTATTTGTCATCATTTGTATATTCATTCACCTGGAGTGGAGATGAAATATCTTTTTTAGAAATGTTGCAATTATTAATGAAAGCTTCAAGGAAAAGCTATTGTTTGAATAGATAAATAAAATATAATAATGGAGGGAAGTGGTCACCTCAGAAGCAGCTGTGGTCTTATTTTGCAATGTGTATGTCATCTGAAGATCTTAAATGAAAATAATAATAATAATATACACAGTGTAAATATGCTTCACCAGTGACATCTTCATATATTTCAATAGTGGATCCATTGATAATATCATCTGGTATGTTGTCCTGTAGAATTATCGATCCTAGTCTCTCTACCATGTCTTGAGTGAAGTTCTCTGGTATGACTATAGCCATCCATGCTTTGCCTTTCTTCACAGCATCCACAGCATCTGTCATACTATCATAATACGTCTAGAGAGAGAGAGAGAGAGAGAGAGAGTTTTTACAATTAGTATATGAATTATTGGTGTGTCAATGGAAGTGCTTACAAAATCTAACGACTTGTCGTCAAGTTTCGATACAAAGAGAGAGCCAAAATTATCCATATTCTCAAACGGAGTGCACTTGTCGAATATGTACTCGCCCATACCCGTTGCTTCAGAATAATCTTTAAAAATAAAAAATACAGTAATGGGTCTGGTAATACTAATATTGACATAACTGGGGTCTGGTAACATTAAAGTATGCACCTAAGGGTTCTAGTAACTAAAGGGACTTACTGATTCCTCTATCACTGTTCATTATGGCAACACTGACTCCAGAGAAATTGCCACCAATGGCTAAACAAAACAATACAATCTGAAAGGCAGGAAGAAGGAACTGGAATATGAGGAGTCCAGGGTTTCTGTAAATACGAGTGAAGTTTTTCCAGCAGAGAGCAGCAATGCTCCTTGGACGAGGTAATATGGTGGACGGATTGATAGGATCACATTCACACATTGATTTTAACACTATAGAGGGAGATAAGTGATATACATCAGGTCATATCAAAATTTTTAAAAATGTTGTAAAAAATCCAAATTTGATCGGAATCACCTCAAACTTTCTACACAACATAAGTTCATGTATATGCATCAAAATAAATTATTAAAATGAAAAATTCTCTCCTAGCCATTTTTGAAAAAAATACCCTGTACCATATCAATTATAGTACAGTGGCCTTGGCCAGCTTTTTGAGCAACTTTAAAAGACTCACTCTCTTACTTTTCTTAGCATTACTAGTCCAGCTTGCTTTGTTATTTCTTTTGGATTTTAAAAGTGGTGTCTCTTCATTAAGATCCTCGTCACCTCCATTTAATGCTGTGAATGAATGTTGCTATCAAATAAAACAAATAAAAAATAAACAATTCTTCCCCTCTTCTTTCCCTTACAATCGATAGCTGAGATGGCGGCCTTTCTTGTGTCTCTTGTTCACGACAAAGACTTAAAAACACTTCCTCGAGTGTCTAATTTTAAAAACAAAATCTTATAATCATGTGAGCGTCATGTGATCATGTCTTACTGTCATTCCATGAGTCTTGATGAGGTCATCGGGTGGAGACTGAGCCAGTAAAAGACCATTCCTCATCAAACCAACCTATTGAAAGTTACAAATTTACATTAAATACATTTTATTTTCAAAACGGCCTAGAAAGTTCCAGCTGTTGCATTACTTACTACATGAGCTTGTCTTGCTTCTTCAATATAATGAGTGGTGATAATGATGGTAGTCCTAGTCCTCTGAACCAGCTCAAGAAGATGCTCCCATATTCTTTAAATAATAACAAAAATAATAACAACAACAATAATAATAATTACTTCGCTCTCAGTAGAGGGTCTACACCAACAGTGGGTTCATCGAGTATAAGCAGTGGGGGTTCCTGTAACATTGCCACTGCGAATGAGACCCTTCTCTGCTGCCCACCACTAGGAAGTACAGAATAAAAATTATTATTAACAAAAAAGTAACTACCTCAATTTTTTAATGGTTTTAGTAACAGAGGGCAGCTCGAGTAATTCTAAAAGAAATTTTCCGCGCTCTCTGACTTTCTTAGGACTCATTCCAAATAGCGTACCAAAATAATACATTGTCTCCAACATTGTGAAATCACCAAATAGAGCTAAATCCTTTAAAGGCAAGTAAATGGCTAACTGCATAATAAGTTATATACCTGAGGCATGTACCCGACATCCTTTCCTGGTATCGAATGACCCCTAGCTCCAGGGGCCTGTCCTAGGACTATCACTGATCCCTCGGATAGCTGGAGACGGCCTATGATACACTTTAAAAGAGTTGTCTTCCCGCATCCACTAGCACCCAAGAGACCATAGCTGTAGAGAGGAGGAAAAGGTTTAAAATAAAGTCTCAGTCTCCTCAGTCTTACATGCAGCCGTTAGGCACGTCCATATTAAGGCCTTTAAGGACTGACAGTGATCCATAGGAACGGTATGCTCCTCTTACTTCAACTGCCATTTGATTTCCTCTCTCTTCAATTGCTGCCATCTTGTGTACGCGTCAGCTACAAAAACAAAAGGTACGTACGTGGCTACGAAAGAGGTGGAACTTCCAGCCGCCCACGCATTAGAATTGTGCGTGGGTGTTAAATGTTAGAATTAATTATTAGAGTAATTTTAAATTAATAATTTACTAATGCCAAAAATAATATTGATATTGAGTGAAAATAAACATTTTTTATAGCAGAGAGAGATGTAAAGAGATTGATTGATGCACAAACAAGAACAATAACAAATGATAATAATAATAATGATGATGATGATGATGATGATAAATGAATGAGTTGAATGATGAAGATTTGTTTATAATACAATTTTCTGCGTGTGTGTATATATACATGTAGTGTTCAGCCATTATACCAGCGTCCTTTTTAATGTCCAGTTTCCTTGAGTGTATCCTCTGTAATGCAATGCATTGTAAACATCCTAATAAAGATAATAAAATTAAATTAAATCCGCTACATGTATCATCAATAACATACTTCTTCTCCTGGAACAGAGCTAGATCTATTCCTTGAAGTACTTGCCATTATGGCTGATGGTATAGATGAACTCTTCTTTATATGAACAGCATCTTGTCCCACTCCCTCAGAATCACCTACAGCTGGATGGACTCTATGGGATCGAATATTAGCCTGACACGAGTTTTGTCTCTGATAGTTTCCTCTAGGGGGTGGTCTTTGGTACCCCCTAGGCATGCTCCCAGAGCGAGAGGGTACTGCATAAGAATGAGGTGTGACAGCACGCATTGCTTTGAGTTGACTTTGCGAGTGACGCCTGTACAGTTTTTGATACGTCTGATGTCTATTTCCTGCTATCGGAGAAGGTGTAGTCTCAATCGTGTTACTAGCACTAGAACTGAACACGTCATCGTCATCATCCTCAGCTCTGAGGACAGGCAGAGGAGGAGTGAGAGCGTCAGAGCTATCAATAACGACGCCATTAGTGAGGAGGGGGGAGGGAGAGGAGGAGGAGAATAGGTGAAGTGGAAGCTGAGGAGATGGAGAGAAGCAGGGAGAGGAGCTAACCCTCCCTGGCTCTTGGTATCCATTAGCAACAGTCGCACCATTCCTTTTCCAACCCGTATGACAGCTTAGTCTTGATGGAAGGGGCGGAGTCTGTATTGGTGAATTGGTAGGAGTGGCAGTTTTAGGAGACATGTTTTGCATGTCTTGAACGACAGCAGAAACTTCGTCGTATAAAGGAGGAGGAGTCTCAACGCATTCTGTACTACCTTGACTGCTGCCAGGGCTCTCCAAAACGTGATAAATTCTCTGCTTTGGTAGCGAGCGATTTGATTGGTTTCGAGGAGGAACAAGAGGAGGAGCTTCAGAAGATTGATCGTATCGATTAGGTGGAAGGTCTGAGTGAGGCAGGGCAGGTAAAGCGACGTGTTTGTGATAATCGGTGTCTTGGACATCCTGATAGACTGGGACCTGGAGCAGAATGAGAACAGAATTGAGAATAAAAATTGATTATGAAAGCACATGCAATAATAAAATGAAAAGCAGAATATTTAAGTATTTAAATATAAACAAAATGAAATACAAATTGCAATACTTTTAAAATTCATTTTTATCATAATTAGTATAACCACCAGATTCTTAGACCTGTAAGACCAGCTGTAGCTTGTCTGCTGGTGCATTGATTGCATGAGCAAGGCATGCATGTCAACAGCAAAATTATGTTCCATAACATGACAATATAAAAATTCAAATTAATGCATCATTGCTACACATGCATGTAATGGTATTTGCATTTGTAATGTAATGTATATGTACAATGTAGCTTATTTTTTGGACTCAAAATGTACATGTACATTTGTCATACCTCTAATCCTTTATGTATCAGGTTAGTGACTCCATATGGCTGTACAAGTCCTTGAGTCTCTCCTCCTTCTCTTTCCATCAACAGTCTTATATGATCCACGTCCAGTACAGTAACAGGACTGGAGCCGGTAGCACCTTCAACATGCTCACTTCTGATAGTTGACCTGCTGTTCATTGTGTCTCTGTACGCATCACTGGTCAGAGGAAAAGAAGTGAAATGATATCTTATCATGTTCATACAGTAGCTTACCCATTACTCTCTTGTTTTGGTGATTCCCCTATAACTTCATTAGAAGGCTCTATGGGTTGTACTAAGAAAAATGAGCATATCATAAAATATATCACAGGATGTATACTGCTACTCAAGATGTCACACACATACATGTACATGTACACGAATACATGTATTTCTGCATACTTCCACCCACAACTAATCATCATAATTATAGCTACAAAGAGAACTGATACATGCACACACAAATCGATCACAGACATTCTTGAGTAGAAGGTAACTAAATTTGTCATGCTATTTCACACACATACACACACAACACACTCACACACACACACAGAAGACAGACCAGACAAACTCATAGCAGCAAATATTAGCTGGAAAAAATTTTGCACCCATGTACACAAATCATATGACTACATTCTTGTCCCATTACAGTCTCATATAATACGACTGTACGTGACTATTAAATCATTTTCTTTAACTTGATTGACCAATATGCTAGCTGCAATAGTATCATTAAATCATGCCTCCTTCTCTCAACAGCATGGCTACAATTCACTGCTTTCATTGCTTACAATACCAATAGCACCTATTATTATACATTCCTAGCCTGTTACATGCAGTTTATGTTTGTACATGTACATGTACAGTATATCTCCCTTCCTTTACTCTCTCAACTGTACTACATTACACTAGCAGGCTCTCACATAACACTCCTCTCTCTCTCTCTCTCTCTCTCTCTCTCTTACTAGTAGTTTCACTGCCATTCTTCCTTTCTTTACAGTGCCTCATTAGTACTACTAAGCTCATTAAGAGTGGAATGAGTAGTATAAGGATACCAAGGACCATAGCACTACCAGATATAGCTACATAAAACACTACATCATCTGTTGATGAAGAACCAGTTGAAACAACTAGAGAGAGGGAGAGAGAGAGAGAGAGGAAAGGGAGAAATAGTAATTGAGTTAATGGAAAATTAAAACTACAAATTTACTACAGATATGTTATAGCATCCAATAAAAATGATAATTTCACACACACACACATTGCGAATAATTCAGCTGAAAATGAGACGACACGCCAAACCGACAACGAGTAGTAACCGAACAATGTGATAATTAGTGACAAAGAAAAGGATACAAGGATGCCAAGGAATGGTCATCTTGTTTACAACATTGTCAGTGATGGAGATTTCCTAAAGCCAACAGTGTTAACAGACAAGACAAATGTAGCTATACCATAAAACAAGCCAAATAGTAAACCAGTTGCCAAGTTTGTACGTACATATACAACGTACACCAACACACACACACATCATCATCATACGTTACACACTTTCACTAAAACTGAGTACTCATAATGCATGCACACATACACACACACACACACACACCTTTTGACTATATATGGTATTATGGTACTGAAGTGGTTTAAAGGGAGTGAGGGGGAGTCAGCAAAGTGTGGGCCTCGATGACAAATTGAGCCCATACTGATTTAAAGTGGGTAGTACATGTACATGTACATATACATGTGAATACATGTTACTCTTCATTAATGTTACATGTACATGTACATGTATAGCGAGCAATACAATCAATGGCATATACAGATATTAACAAAAAGCATGTGAATGGAGTGATAAAATGAGGTGAGACAAACAAGAACAGATATAGTGTGAGTGGATAATGTACATGTACACGTTAATGATAATTGTTGCATAGTAAACAATGCATTAACAAAATAATATTAGCAGCCAGTACACGATCAGTCACGTCGCTATTTCCAGTTATAATCCCAAAATGATGACAACAATTATTAAACAAAAACATCATTGTTGTAAGTGAACTATTCCACACAAAGAGTGAAGGGATGCTCGATGCCAAATATTCCCTTCACAAAAGGGACTCGCGACACAACAAGAAATTAATGAGAAATTATTGTATTAGTTGTTTGCACTTTATTATTGTCATTAACTTACAAGTAGGGACTGGTGTCTGACTATTCAGCTCGTAGGACGACTCCATCACCATCGATGCTGTCGTTGAAGCAACTACAGGAGGTGACAGACAATAAAGCACGGAGCATTTAACAATAAGCAATAAGAAATAAACAAAAAACATAATTATACTCATAACAATTGAAATTAAGTCATACAATAAAAGCTGCAGTATTATAAAAGAGGAATTGGCATTGACATACACATGTGTACATGAATTAAGAGACAGTTATATGAATGATCTTACATAGCCTTTGGCAGTGGGGGGAACTACATGTACATGTAAATAAAGACATTATGCATGCTTTGATGAACTCAATTCCTGAGTATCAATTATTATCGCAGACATGTATTTTGTAAACACAGGATGGAAATTGTCTTAATCTATCACACGTGAATAAGCTGCTGTGTTCTCTATTGCTATGGTATGTCTATTGCATTAATTGTGAGCCTATAGTATAATTATGAGGTTTAATTGTTTAGAAATTCCAATAAAATAGTCCAAATAATAAATAGTGCACAGGGTGTCATTGTCTGTCACAATAGGAGCTAGGTGTAGCACTCAACATAACTGATTCATAAAGGATTATAAAAATATACAAAGTACTAAAGATAACAGCCTCTTATGGAAAATGTACACAGATGCAAAGACGTCAGATGAGAAAGAAACTACATGTATGACATGATAAACAAGCATAATGCAATGTCATCACATTGTATGCATACAGAGTCCTACATTAAATTACACTTAAACTGTTCATTCCTGCAGTGAACTACATGAGTGGCATGCAGAAGGAAAGAAATCAATAATGTACTATACAATAGTCCCTTGATACTTTTAGAATAAAATGTAATGATGCAATGTACATGTAAGTATGTAACCAATAATTTATAAGACTCAATCTTCAAACGCTAGACTCACTCACTCACTCACCAAATGTCTGGTATACTTTGACTATTAGATTAGGCTAAAAAAATATTCTCAAATTTGTAGTAAAGTCTATGTAAGTATGTACACAAGCACAGGTTAATAAGAGTCTATGATAACTATTAATAGTATACTTGAGAACGAAATGGAATTAACATGATTAAACAGTAACGTGCATTGTATTAGTGTTACTACACTACACTACAAATTCTAACCTAATCTTACTCTTGTTACTTCCTCCTCTTCCCCCTTTTATCCTCTACCCTCCTCTACCCTGAGTACCCTCCTCTGTACTCCAATAAGTGTACATGTACATACTCACTTGGTTCTGTAGGGGGGTCACTGATTAGTATAGGAGTTGCAGAAATTTCAACCAGCCCTGGGTCCCCACTAGTGATGTTGTAATTTCGTCCCACGACGACGAATGGGAGACTAAGAGTGTCTTTAGTCAGAGTAATTGTTGTGCTTGAGGTTAAGGAACCAGGTTGAGACCGAGTAGCAGTCGCATTTTTCAGCTCCGTTCCATTAGTCAGAACCACAATAACAAAGCAACCAGCAGATGTACTGCCATTGGCAAAATGACATTTAATTTTCAGTTCATAGCCATGGAGTGAAGCACTTATACTTTGAAGAGTTGACGTGACTAAAGGTGAGAGAGAGTGTGTGTGTGTGTGATGAATTATGAAGGGTGTGAGCAAAAGTATGAATGGAAGGTACTGTATACTATAATATTATGACAAACAGTATCTACTCAAAATATCATAATTGTAACACAAAGAATGCTCTATTCTTCCATTGTAAGGAATCAAATCCCATATACATTGTATAACTTCAGACTTGATTTAATTATCTTTAAACGCTATACGCCGCCTCTACGTAATGTCTGCATGCCTAATGTGGTCTATTACTTGGGAATACTACCAAGACTACCATGCCTTTCATGTTTCTCAACATATACAGCTTTGTGCTTCTACTTGGTGCACAAGCCAGTAAACATGCATACACAGCATGCTGTTGTATCAGCAACACTAGTCATTAGACTAAATTTATTTTTGTAAATGATGAAGTGACAAATCAAAGAGAAGCTACATAAATCCATTCTTCATTGTCAGTGCTAATGAAACAGTGACTAAATAAACATAATCTGGTTTCCTTATAGCTACAGGCATTAAGTAAAATTAATGCTAACAGAGAAATTGTATATGTACATGTGCATTTACATACATGATACATACATGTACATATATCAGACAACACCTGGGCTATAATGGCAACAAGAGAATTGGTTGGATAGATGTTGATCATGATTTGAATACACATGAGAGATTCAGACTTGTATACTAATAAATAGGCTCAGCTTGTTTTTTTGTAGTGGAGCTAATGTATTCCCAAAGGGTCAAACTATAGTTTGTCAAAGCATCCTGTTTATTGCATTCATAATTATTTGCTCAAAAAATATTTAAGTTACTCTAGATCACATAATCGTGTACATATGTTACACAACAAATTGATTCACAGACATAGATCCTAACCTATTCTCCTTTCTTCGCTAGCACTTGAAACACCGACAATATTCACAGCAGCAACAGATAGTGAGTAATCCTTATCATGCTCTATGCTATCATTATTGAAAGAGATGAGGATGTGATTGTCATTTGAGCGGGCATTTTCAGCTGGAATCATTAGCGAAATATTATTAGAAGAATCTCTATCTCTTAGCACAACAGAATAAAAAATGACTGGGTAATCAGTGCATGCTTGAGGATCCTAAAGGAGAAAGAAATTCAATAAGCTAAAAATGATTTATTACATTATTGTAATGAGGATTTAAGCTAATTATGACCTAACACTTCCTGAGCTGCATCTAGACTGCATGTCTCTATAAACTGATGTGTGAAGCTTTAAAGGGAAAAAGTAAGCTAAGAGGACACATGGAGCCAAAGCTGGCAGAGACTAATGAGATACACTCAACATACATGTACTTGTATCATAGCAAAATTCATTCATAGTAGTGGGCATGTTAAACAGCCACGGCGAGTAATGAAGCTTGCATAATTAACAAAGTTATGCTAACAAAGGCAATATTTGAAATAAAATTATTGCTTACGCTGATTTCAAGTGTTATCGATGGAGTCCCGTCATACTCAAAGGAGACTAGTGAATTATTAATAGTTGCAATGTTAGGGACTAAGGGAGGGAGAATAAATTAATAAACATAATATTCTCATGTGCAAAAACACAAACTAAATTCTAATGAAGTAAGTGCTTACTAGACTATACATACCACTTCTTTCCCAAATTGCTATGAAGTGGTCAACAGAAAACTACAAAATAGTAACCAAGCTAATCTAAAGTCTGTTGCAGTTAAGCCATAACATTAATGTATTACCACAATAAAAGTGAGAAATACATTACCAGAGTGTACAACTTAAAACCACTCTACAAAAACTATAGGTATAATCACCATGAGGGAATTTCTATAATGTCCGGTAGGCCAATGGCTTCTGTGCATAGAAAATCACTATTGCTTGCATAACCAACCTCCAATGCTTTCACTGT